GTAATGGAGAGAGCCAGAAGCCGCCATCTTTGCACCAATGTCTCAGATCTACAGCATCATCTTACAAATCGTACCTCTTAATGTTTCGAAACAGAGTAGAATGAGAGGGAGGGGAACGACGACACATAGTAAAAGAAGAACGAGGTTTGAATAAATCGAATCAACTCTCCTCATTAAAACAATTTCTAGTATTTTTTTTTTTCAAACGAGTTTGGGGGAGAAACCAAACGGAGTCGTAGGTTTCATGGCAGTGGTAGGATAAGGGGTTGAAGAGTTTGAGTCCGACCATGATCTTCCTCGTATCCTCTCATCTTTGTTCTTCGTTTAACTGATTTGTAGATCAAGTGTATGGATTTGGGTTTAATTTCAGTACTTTTTTTTGGAGATGAATGTTGATGTTTGCCGGTGTTGGCTTGTGGCTGGAGGTGACAGGTGGCCGAAGGTGGCTGGTGGTTGGAAGTGATTGGTGGTAGGAGGTGGTTAACGATCGGAGGGGTTGGAACTGATTTAAAAGGAAATTTTATTTTCTAAAAGTTATAATTAAAAAAATAGTAGATAAATTATAAACAAATAAAAAATAAATGAAAAAGAAAAAGAAAAAGGGAAATGTAGTCATTTTATGTATGCGAGGGACGAAAAATGCACCTTTTAACGATACGAGGGACGGTCCGAGTTAATTTTTAAAAATAAGGACTAAACGTGCTTTCTGACACATGCACGAGGGATGATTGGTGTAATTTACCCAATAAAATAACAAAAATATACTAGATAACGGGGTACATTTACACCATTTGGCATGATCATAATAAAATTGATTAAGAGTCCTTTTGCACTTTCAAAAAAATATTTTTAACTAACTACATCAACAACAACAATTCAAAAAAAAAAAAAAAAAAAAAAAAAAAAAAAAAAAAAAACGCTTATATTTTTATTCCATTAACCTAAAAACATCTTTTGTTTTTCTGGGGTTTATTATTGATTAAAAGTTTATGAGGCGTATATTTTCAACTTCAGATACAAGTCTACAATACACATACAGTTACACCAAAGAATCGAGAGGGAAGAACAATAAAAGTGAAGGATGAACGAAGATACATTCACCGCCATTCTTGACAACCTTCCGGAAATTCCCAGCGGCAAAGTGAAAAAAAATAACGTTGAATTGGGTTTCTTGTATACTGTCGATGACGTAATACATTCCTAAAATATATAATCATGTCATATTACCTCTTTACCCTTATGTTGACAAAATATGTGTGTGTGTTTGTGTGTATGTCTCTATATATGGGTGATGTAAAGTTGCCAGTTTTGCACTGCTAGCTATGCTTTGCCTTCTTCGTTTGCTTCCAACATTGTCTGCATTCGTCACAGACAAATCACACACCTACCCAACCCCCCTCGTCTATTCACATGTGGGCACTAATCATCACAAGAATACAATTCTGTTCACACAATCACCATATCCTGGCTCTTCTTGAGTTCAGAGCTCTGTCTATTGTTTTTCAAAGCCCCATAAGTAACATATCACATTTTTCTCCTTTAAATGCTACTTATTCATCTTTATGTACTGCATATCACTATACACAGTTTTAGGGTTTCTTTTTTCTATTTTGGTTTTGCGCATATCATCTTCATTTTCGTGAGGGTGTAAACGTTTTATTGATCAATACATGAAACATAAATCATCAACGAATGAAGCATATATGACTTGATTTCGTCACAAATATATATTCACCATGATTTAACATATATTTTTTATCGTATTTTTTATGACGCATTACGTGCTAATCTTTTTGCCTCGGGACCATGTAACAGAGACAGACAAGAAGCATAACTTTATCCTATATACTTTTATTTTTGGATAGAAAATCACATTCCCTCTTGTTGATGCAACCACTTTTTTATTAACTTATATAATATAAATAGTGGTTTGTGGACATTCTTTGGGATTTAGCTAAGAAACATCCAGAACACAAAACCAAGAATTATTTAAGCATCATTTTCTAAATTTTATGATGGTGGGGCTCAATAATTTGTTCGACGAGAGTTATCACTTGATGCACCATCGATATGATAGTAAATAGGAAAATAAAGCGCAAGAAAACAAATTCAATAGACAAATGTCAGGCTGGCATACACGAGAATTATCATAGACAACATACTCAATCCTAGCTACTTAACACAAAATCAATCATATGAATATATATATCACCGCATCATGGAAATTCAATATGAAGCTGCTTATCTTATATGTTTGAACCCCGACCCTTCAATATTGTGTTCTTTATCCACATCTGAAATTTCCAGGAACTTTGGAATCTGGAAAAAGATTTTTTTTTTTTTTTTTTTTTTTTTTTTCTGAATTTGGGTTATTATTACTCACATGTTTCCTTGCTCCGTTGTAACTGTATCTCCCATGCATGCATGGGCAGGATAATGATCAGTTTAATAGCCGATACTTAGGGACTTACTCTAAAATATATTTTTTTATTTGTTATCCATAACTTAATTATTAACTTTTCTCATACCCTTAAAATTTTCTTGTGACGATGATCGTACGTATTCTGTTCCTGCGGTAGACCCATTTTGGAAGCTTTTACATATATTTCTATTATTTAATCATATCATTTCATGAATAATTCCAAAACTAACATTCTCTCTAGGCAAATTTTGAGGCATAAAATGCCATTTTGGACAAGGGAAATGTTTCTCGTGACATCTCATAATTATTGGTATATAAAGAATGGGTTAAAAAAACTAGTAATTTTACAACATTTTCACATGCATATATAATATATTTTATCAAAGGGAGCCATCAGAGTTAAACTATAATGCAAAATTCTAAAGTATATTAACCCTATTTCTTATAAATTAGAGAATATGCACATAGATCCACACAAGGAATAATAGCAATAACACCAAACACATATCGCCACAAAAGAAACCAATGTCTTTGTCAAGTCATCGCTAACCAAGTCATCTCATCGCTAACCAAGTCGTTGCTAAACGCATTAGATTTGTAGATAACACACAAAACCGACCCTATTGTTGCAGTTACTACAAGTATGTGTTTATATATATATATATATATATATATATATATATATATATATATATATATATATATATATATATATATATATATATATATATATATATATATATATATATATATATATATATATATATATATACTAGTAGTATAACCACACGATGTAGCATTTACTTTTGGTGATTAATTTCATGACAAAAATTATATGTTTCTGCCCTTTTGGCACGCATCGATAATTTCTTTTGGCTGTGGAGTAGTAACATGAAGTTACACAATGAAATATTTAAATATACAATGATTTAATTTTTGAATATTGGTTATCCAATGATAATCTTCCATATACCCCATAAAATGTTTATTATCATTATTATTGATAATTTTGAGTAAAGTTTATAAACCAATTAAATTTTAAGAAAATTACTAATACAGCCTAATTAAGTAATTACTAAACCATTTTTAGCCAAAAAATTGTAATTGTCATAAAATAGCCCAAGAAACTGAATGTAATTAGAGTGACCTATTTTTTCATCAATTAGTCTACTGTTTCGGGTTTAATATAAAATATATATATATATATATATATATATATATATATATATATATATATATATATATTTTTGATGAACTAAAACTGATGGTTATTTTAAAACTTACGATTTCTTTAGATAAACTACGGTTTTTCAAACCGTAGCCTATTGTTCTGGGTTAAAGTCTATGGTTTTAATTTTTTTTTTAAATAAATGTAGAGTAGATATAATTGGTTACAGGTTACAACAGTTAAAAAAAAAAAAAAAAAAGAAAAAAATTTATATGGTTCATAAGAAAACCTACAATGTACATATCCCACTGAATAACCTTTAAATTGTAGACTTGTACATCGTAGGTTTCATATGAAGCCTACGATTTTAATTTTTTTTTTTCCGTTTTTTTTAAGTTATCAACATACACAAATTACTCCTAATCAAGAATATGGTAAAAATTTTGATAAAAAAAAAAATAGACGTATCTCGTACGTCGGGTGTTCTATTAAAAAAAATAGTAGGCAAACTAAAGAAAAAATATCATAAATTAACCTAATCTAAAAAATTATATATTATATAGTATGGATCAATAAACCACGAAAGAATAGACGGGCCAACCAATTGCACTAAAACAACAAATTACCCCCCTTTGCCCTCAACTCTAGCCATCTATTGTTTCAATGCTATTTTTAGCTAAAGTATTTTTTTGATTATTTTTTTGTAGGTAATTAGGGAAATTAGCTAGATTGGTAATTCATTCTTAAATTTAACAAATATTTTTTGCCTGGCGACTCATTTATTCAATAGTATTTCATTTTATTCAATAATATTTCATTTTATTCTTCAACATAGTATAAACATTATTAATCAAAATAGAAAACAAAATATTATTTTTTATCCCTCCTCATAGTAATTACGTTGTTATTATGGGCCTAAAGATCATTTTAGCACTTAGAAGCCTCGTACATTGTACTAAACATAGAAAAACTTACCAATTAATATATATATATATATATATATATATATATATATATATATATATATATATATATATATATATATATATTAAAAATGTCTCAAGTAAACTATGTGGTTTTGGCTGAAAATGTCCGGTTATGATGGTATATATCTCATCTTTTGGCTTTCTTGCTTTTTTGGGCAGTTGATGTCGTTTTCTATAAAGTTTGTCAATACGTGTTATTTTGATTTTGCTTCACCGTTTTGTCGCCCAATCAGGTTTCGATTTCTGTTTCTGAACCTTTCTCCACCGCCTGATCTGTTGCTTTCCAATTCTACAACCTACTTCTGAAATAGAGAATAGACGTTTCTTATTACAAGACAAACCTTCTTCTTCGTTTTCAACCACACCTCTCTGCTGTGACACCGCTTCTGGTAAAGCCTTTGTCGGTGAGTTGTAGGATCTATTAATGACCTATCCACTTACACCGTCTATTTTACCCTCTTCTCCCAACCCACTCTCACCGTTTACTTCTCCCCCACCGATTCCAATTCAATATCGGTAAGTAGGAGAAGAAGACGCCTCCACCACTTACAAGTCTTCTTTAGTCGTTTCATTCGATCCTTCCACCACCGGTCACTTTTTTTTCCTCCGTTATGTTCTCAACTGAGTTGGAGCAAACCGAAAAAACCCTCAGCCTCTTTACCATCCGCATCACCATCTTCTCTATCATCTACACCCATTTTTATGCATCTTAACTTTTTCAATTAGAGCTTCTGCCCCTATCACCGCCATCGATTGGTGGAGCCTACATGACATCGTTCAATACTATCACACCCCAACGACTACTTCTCAACCTCCTTTGATTCTCCAATGGAATGCTTACATAGCTTTTTCATCGACATCTTTGACAAGGCGATCACTATACCACTATTCGTCCTTCATGGGTAGAGGAATCGAGCTTATGGTTGGTATCTCAAATGATCTATTGGCCACCCTCAGCTCCTCCACGATGGCCGCTGATTTGTGGGTTTCCCAGAATGTTTACAGATACATGATTTGAGCCTGTGCCAACAACAAATATTATCCCATGTCTCGTTCCCGTCTCTTTGTATATATTATTAAGTATATCTTTAGCTTAAAATCCACTGCTATCTTGTGATCTGAAACTCCAATCTCTACTCGCTGCTTATTTTTATCAGTTAGTGTAGGCATGCATGTGGGGTAAGAAGACTGCATATGAAATTTGATTTGGTAGGGAAAATAAGAAAAGAAAGAAACCCCCTTTCGAGATGATTGCTCAACCTAATTTGATACATTTTGATCTTTAATTGATTTATAACATTTGGTTTTCATCGGATTTGATATTGTTATTCAATATTCCTTAATTGATTATTTACCTTTGGTTTTCTTTTTCTAATGTGTAGAATAGATTGGAAAGAAGAGTTGTTATTGACCTTAGTTAATCGGTGGTTCTGAAGTAAATGGTGCAAAATAGTTGGGAAACTGATAAAATGCAAGTACTGTTCTTATTTATATATACAAAGTACTATAACACATGTTTGAAGTTTTACCTGTGAATTGATCTATTTTGATAAAATTTCAAACTGATTTTCTTGATGAGGCCATGTAGTTTTCTTCTTTTGGCAAGAAAATTATTTATTCATGTAATTGATCAAAGGTTGCGCTAAATTTGGAAATTATGGATATTAGTTTTTTTTCATTTGTAAATCCCAATGATTTTTTCAGGATAAGTTCAATGATCTGCACCAGAAAGTTTGTAATTTTCTTTGTATGGCTGTGAGCTTACCCTTCCAAGTTCCTTGATCTTCCTATGTAACTACTAATGACGGTTTGGTATGTCACATATCTTTTCTCTTTCTATTCGAGTATATTTTACACAAAGGTTACAACCTTTTTTCATTCAAAATTCATGAGAGTGACTTTCTTGATTGCAGTTCATGTTTGAACTTGGAAAAACACTTTTAAGCAGAGTAATCAGAACGGAATATGGTCATCCAATATTTTCAGATAGTTTTCTTTTCAGATCTTTTGCAAATGTCAAAAGTACCCTGATAGTTTGGTAGACATGAAATTGGGGGAAAGAATGGAATTGGTGAATCATTCTAATGGAATGAAAGAAGAAGTTTTTTTGCTTTGTCTGAGTTTGATTCTTTCTTTTTGTTAATCGTCATTACTTAGACATAGATTTTGTTCCCAAAGAATCTAATTTTCATGAAACCATTTTAGTAACAAGTTTGAAAGATAAAAAGAAAATATTTTACTAAAAAATTTAATTTTTATAAAAAAAAAATATTGTTATTAAAGATCATACAAATAAAAGTTATTCATAATAAAAGTTATATCATTCCGTTCCATCAAATAATGATTAAAAAAAGATTTACTCCTTCCACCCTAACGCAATATTCTATTTCCCTCTTCAATTATCAACATTAGTCAAATCAGAGGACTATTGAAATCTTTTATATCAAAGGATTTTTCATAAATGGACATGCTATTTAGATGACATGCATCTTAGCTCCTTTTTTGCATATTAGTGCATTCTTTGATCAAACCTTTTACAAGAGTCAGACTGATTTTGTATTTCCATCGCCTAAGATGTCATCAAGAACATATCAGCTGAAGTTGTTAGAGAAAAGTTTCTAAATCATATACAACATGTATTATACTTATATACTTTCTTCTTCTCATGATAATGTTTTTCTTATTGGAATCATTTAAGCATAATCAGTTTCTAAATCGTATACAGCTGAAGTTGTTAGAGAAAAGTTTATAAATCTGTTTTAATTTTAATTTGTAATAGGAAATACTATGTGATGTTGAACATTGACTAATATAAAGGGATTAACTTCATATGTGAGTACAAAATTAACTCTGATGCTGATCTCAATTTTCAAACATATATAAGGGTATGTTTTTATATAGAATATAATATTTGTTACAAAATATAGATATAAAACAGCCATGTGAATCACCATGAACTGATTTTTAATTATTTTATTTTGATGATAAAATTGATTGTTCTTCTTATTTGGTTTTCTTGACAAAGAGAAGAACAAAACAACAGTTTATAAATAAATTTATAAAAGGGAATCCATACTGTTTCAAAACAAATTAATATTAATTATGGTAAGAATTATAATATTTTTATTTTCCTCTTAAGTTTTGAAGCGTGACTTTCCTCGATGTGTACTTTTCTTCGGTCTAACAATTCATCAAAATAACGCCGCAAAGACTTAATTAATTATCATTCAATGGTAAAGCTCTTAATAGCTTTAGAAAACTCATTTATTAAATTTATTACAGTTATATTCGAAAAGTATCCATTAACCGTATTATATATATATATATATATATATATATATATATATATATATATATATATATATATATTAGTTAACTTTTATTTTTTATTCTTTCTTTGAAGTAAAAAGTAATGGAGGGCTATGAGCATTTACCGTGATGAAAAAGTTAGCAAAAGATTTGGTAAAAGAAAACACGACTGCTAAAATCGGCAATTTGATATACCAACACACATACAACAAAAAGAAGCTTTGAATTCCCTAAGAACAGCTACATTAACAACTACAACAAAGAGACGAAACAACAAGCAACCTTGCATGCTAAATCTAGAGTATACATCATCGTTTTCAGAACAATTATAAGGAAAAAACATTACCGAAACAAGTACAAAGCATGGATAAAATAGTCAAAGAACATCGAAAAAACAACCGGAAGGGTAGAGATGCTGAAACTGGAAGTGGAGCTCTTATTTCTTCACATTTCTACACTTTCTGTTCTTGATGAATATTATGAAAGGTAACAAGAACTCTCTTTCAAACTTGTTTTTAGAGAACACATACAAAAAGTTTGATTTTTGTTAGTGTTTCTTCTGAATTTCATTTGTTTCTTTGTTGGATAATGGTTAAAGAAGTTCCATTATAAGGTTTTGATTTTAGTTTTTCTATGTCTGACTATATTTTGTGTCTGAAAATATTTTTCAATGTGTTTCCGTGTCTTGTTAGGAGTGTATATTTTTTGATAGGTTTGGGTTCATAATCTCTTTCAGGTATTAGACTTTGAGCCTTTAGCTTTAGTTATGTTCAAAGAATTTATTGCTATTTGAAATTATATTTTGTTTTGCACGGCAGGTGTTTGATAAAACGTCTTTTTTTGGAAGAGAAGGTGTTTGATGAAACGTCCGAGTCAGCCAAATTTGTAAAATGAAGTTCTTTTAATAGAAGTGGGGATTAGGAGAGCCAATGCATTAATGAAGTCGTGAAAATAGTGAAAAAGAAGGTTAGATTTCCCTGAAATATTCTTAAAAACATTTATTTGTTAAAATTAATTAATGTAAATAGTTTTCTTTAGCTGTAGCCTGAAGTTCATTGAAAAGAGAAGATATTAGTCACAATGATATTCATGTGGAAGTTACGATTATTCATTGTTTTGCTTTCCAGCTTGACTTAGATGCAAAGTACATGTGCAACCATGGATGCCCATTCATAAATTCTTACCACACTTAATCCACAAAAGAAGAGATAATTTCTTTATGAGAAATGTCTAAATTGTCATTTTCTCTCAATATTAACTATTTATTCTATATTGGAACTAGGGATTTCGGAAAAACCTTATTAGAGACTTGGTAGAATTTTGTGTTGTGTTTTCTACAATGATTTTTTAATGAAACTTAAAGGAGGATTACAATCTTTATGTAATATCCGTACACAATAGTTCACTTATTCCTTGAAACACATTATTATACTTCCAAGTGCTTTTGCATCTTGAGTAATTTCGTTAATGCTTACATTTTTTTATATAGCTTCGGGTTTTCGGTTGTAAAGAATAGCAACATATATTACTGTGGCAATCAATTCAACCTACGTATTATAGTTTCACACAAAAGTGATACTTTCCGACCCCCGCAATGCGGGGGAAACCCTTCTAGTTTAGATTAAAATAGAAGTTGTAATATTATGGTAAAACTAAGTGTACATCGTTTTGTTTTACAAAGAAAAGTGTGGTGTTATTTCAACGAATAATTTATTTTTGACGTATAGATTCTGGTAAACTATAATCTCTGTCAATCAGTTATTTTTTATTAAAATAAAACTTCGTTGTTGTTTTTGGAACGACTGTCTTAATATCTTCCATTGAAATAGTTGACCACTTTCGTAGAGACCTCTTTCAAGTATTTTACTTTTAAAAAAATCCATTGTTGATTCAAATAAATTTTTTTTTATTGTATGTTCACTTTTTTTTTCTCTAACTTTTTGCATATTATTGTACATATCTTAAGCATAACATATAAAATTTGTTTGAAATTGTTATATAAAAATCTTCATAATAAATTTGAATTGAATATCCCAAAGTAAATTTCTTCGATAAAAGTCCAAAAAAAAAAATAATAATAAAAATAAAAATAAAAAATAAATAACTATATACATGACTTTTGATTCTTGCATATGCCACCCTTTATCACATTTAAGTATAAATAATTGAGAAAACTTTTTTTAATAAAAAAAACATATTACTTAACTAAGAGTTTAAAAGCTTAAAATAAATCTATGTTTTTCTAATTTTTACTCTTTACTTTTAAACATTGATTCATTGTTTAAAAAAGTATATCATTTCTAACCATTGTTGACAACTCCTGCATCTGTATATAAATTTTGATTATACATAAAAATTATAAAATTATAGTTCATTCTTAGAAACAAATCCATCATTTGATTTTAAACAATAAAGTATTTCATCAATTTATAAGTGCTTTTATAATAAAAAAATTTATTTATGTATTACGACAAAAAATCAACCTCAATTTACTCTTAGGTCGTTGAATCATTCAATCATTCTTATTAGTTATTGTAAAACTATAGCAATTACAAATGAAATAATTAAATAAATTATATATTACAAACTCATTCAATAAAACATTAAAAAGTAAAAACAATACCATTATAAATCAAAAAATTTAAGCATTAAAAGCAATATAAATTAGTCCCTTCCAACACTTTTAAAAGAGAGATTTTACAACTTTAA